CACGCGTGGGATAACTTCTTTAGATCGTTATGATGTGACGCGCAACAAACGCTTTTAAGAATGGGGATTCTTTTTTTTTAAACTGTTACGAGCAACAACATTAAGCAGGCTCGACCTCCTAAATGTTTTAACTTTGTCGACAATACCGATGCTCCCCCCGCCCTCATCTTTTGCATTGGTGGGTTTCGTCAACATTGCGCTATTCCAAAGAGTCGGTGACGTTAAGGTACGATCAAGGTAAGATACAACTGTAGGAACATTATGAGAGCCTTGATAAAGTGAGTTCTCTCCCCAAGATATCTCTTGGAAGGAATCATAATATAGGCGAAGCATTTTAAAACATTGTAGAACACTCTCAGCGTCTTGGGAAGAATTTGAGCAAGAGATGCCAATTCATACGCACTCTAAAACACTAACAAATTCACACGACCTTCCATCCATGGTCCATAGCTTTCAGCAGTGTACCGTCTTTCTCCTCAGCCCCTGCCCTCTCTTCCCCCCTCCTCCACCTCCCCCCTCCCCTCACCTGGTTAGTCTTTGGCCGTATCTCTTTCGGCAGGAGCAGCACGCCACTCCCATCTGACACTGTGCCCTCAGACACAACACTTTCCACGTCGGATCCCGGCTTATTCGGTGCTTCCGAGTCCGAATTTTCCTTAACAGACTTGGTGTATATCCCCATCCTGTTGAGGTATTTCGTTTACCAGAAAAAAACCCCTCAAACAAATGTGGTAAATGAGAGTGCTTTCAACAATTGTGCATTACATGGCAGCTACGAGAGCCGAGAGGGGGTAGCATACCCTCAGTCAAAAAAACACTCTTCAGTGTAAATAACCCTAGCGACAACGTCACTTCCGGGAATGGTTTCTCTCGATAGATGCGCAGACGACGAAGATCGTATTGGGAAAACTCGACCAATAAACATTGTCAAGCATGCGCAAATTTCGAGTGGGAATACTCGAACAATGAAATATTGTCAAACGTGCGCAATTGTCGAGAAACGATTTTTCACTCTTTTTCTCATCAGCAAAAAGGATAGATGCGCTGCAAACCCACTTGGCATCAAACATCGGACGTTCCACATATACTGTAGTAGCCAATAAGCAAAAAAGTGCAAAGACACATGTCAAGTAAAGATCTACACTTAGATGCTAATAAGCACACTATAAAACAGACAAATGTCTCCATCTATATAGGTAAAGTAGACAGAGAACGATTAAGGACAGCCTTTTTTAGAGCATTTGAGCAGATAGGAGATGGAAAGGCCACAATAAAATTATTTTTTGAGAGCATTTGAGCAGTAGAAAATGAATGAGTGGTGATACATGGTCGTTGATGTCTGCTTTAGATCAAGCAATTGAAGAAGATCTATACTAACGACCCTGACCCAGTCTGCACCCTTACAGCACAGTTGAGAAAGGGCAATAATATGGAAAGTCATTGCGGCTCTTCACCTCCCTATGTTGTCTCTGCCACATCGTGAGTGGCCAAAGGGAGCAGCCAATGTCGAAGTAGAGGCGCTGATAAAGGAGAACAGTGAACAGGGCGACGTAGTCATCGTCACAGATGATCAGTACAACGTGGAGTCAAATCTGGATGGACTTTCAGCGCCCGTGTAAACGGGGTCATACAGAGGAAGAGAGAGAGAAAGAGAGAGTGAGAGAGAGAGAGAGAGAGAGAGAGAGATGGGGGGAGAGAGAGAGA